ATCATCTGTGTGTCTCCCAAACTGCCAGAAGTAACTTGTAACCAAGCCTAAGCCTGGCCACTACAACATCAGTCATCTGTTCACATTGCAAGTTGCTCCATAAACTACTTATCTACGTTCATGTTATCATAGTGGTTATAGATCTACTCAGGGCTTTCTAACTGCATTCCTATAACAATCATTTTCATTATTTACTTCTCTCCTAATATATACTAAGGCTAGACACAGTTATACCAAAGTTTATATTCTACATTCTCTTCTCGATACTCTTCTTGCTAACATATCAACTTTATCATGAGGAGTAATCCAATGTGTGAATGGATCCATAGCAATTGTACATTAATTTCCTTTGTCCTAATTTTTGAGTATCATACATGTGCTTTCCCAATGAGCATGTTGTTGGTAGTCATTATATGATGTCAAGAACCTACAAATGATAACATATGAATCAGTAATGATTATAGAGTCAAGCTCAGTGTCAAGTTAGGCTTTGTGCCATTAGGATTGCAAACATTTCAGTTTGCAGTGTAAACGAGACAATTATAAACCCAGGATATACAACACTGAACTTGAGTACCGGAGTTTACCTGGAGAGAGTTCCGGGGTCAACGCCCCATGCGGCCGGTCCTGTGACCAGGCCTCTGGTGGATTCAAGATGCCTGATCAACCCAGGCTGTGTTGCTGCTGGCTTGCACCAAACCACATACGAGCCACAGCCCGGCTGGTCCAGGAACCGACTTTAGGTTCTTTCCAGTGCCAGCTTGAAGACTCCCAGGTGTCTATGGTATCCCCTTATGTATGCTGGGAGGCAGTTGAACGGTCTCGGGCCCCTGACACTTATTGTATGGTCTCTTAACTTGTTATTGACACCCCTGCTTTTATTGGGGGATGTGCATCGTCTGCCAAGTCCTTTTGCTTTCGTAGTGAGTGATTTTCAGTGTGCAAGTTCGGTACTAGTCCCTCTAGGATTTTCCATAGTGTATATAATCATGTATCTCTCCCGCCTGGTTCCAGGGAATACAGGTTTAGGAACCTCAAGCGCTCCCAGTAATTGATGTGTTTTATCCCGTTATGTGCGCCATGAAGGTTCTCTGTACATTTTCTAGGTCAGCAATTTCACCTGCCTTGAAAGGTTGCTGTTAGTGTGCAGCAATATTCCAGCCTAGATAGAACAAGTGACCTGAAGAGTGTCATCATGGGCTTGGCCTCCCTAGTTTTGAGGTTCTCATTATCCATCCTGTCCATTTTTCTAGCAGATGCGATTGATACAATGTTATGGTCCTTGAAGGTGAGATCTTCCGACAATGATCACTCCCAGGTCTTTGACGTTGGTGTTTCGCTCTATTTTGTGGCCAGAATTTGTTTTGTACTCTGATGAATGATTTAATTTCTCGTGTTTACCATATCTGAGTAATTGAAATTTCTCATCGTTGAACTTCATATTGTTTTCTGCAGCCACTGAAAGATTTGGTTGATGTCTGCCTGGACCTTGCAGTGTCTGCAATGGAAGACACTGTCATGCAGATTCGGGTGTCATCTGCAAAGGAAGACACGGTGCTGTGGCTGACATCCTTGTCTATGTCGGATATGAGGATGAGGAACAAGATGGGAGCGAGTACTGTGCCTTGTGGAACAGAGCTTTTCACCGTATCTGCCTCGGACTTTACTCTGTTGACGACTACTCTCTGTGTTCTGTTAGTGAGGAAATTATAGATCCATCGACCGACTTTTCCTGTTATTCCTTTAGCACGCATTTTGTGCGCTATTACGCCATGGTCACACTTGTCGAAGGCTTTTGCAAGTCTGTATATATTACATCTGCATTCTTTTGTCTTCTAGTGCATTTAGGACCTTGTCGTAGTGATCCAATAGTTGAGACAGACAAGAGCGAACCTGTTCTAAACCCATGTTGCCCTGGTTGTGTAACTGATGGGTTTCTAGATGGGTGGTGATCTTGCTTCTTAGGACCCTTTCAAAGATTTTATGATATGGGATGTTAGTGCTATCGGTCTGTAGTTCTTTGCTGTTGCTTTACTGCCCCCTTTGTGGAGTGGGGCTATGTCTGTTGTTTTTAGTAACTGTTGGACGACCCCGTGTCCATGCTCCCTCTCCATAGGATGGAAAAGGCTCGTGATAGGGGCTTCTTGCAGTTCTTGATGAACACGGAGTTCCATGAGCTCTGGCCCTGGGGCAGAGTGCATGGGCATGTCATTTATCCCTGTTCGAAGTCATTTGGCTCAGGATAACATCGGATAGGCTTGTGTTAACCAAATTCTGTGGCTCTCTCATAAAAAATTCATTTTGATCTTCGACTCTCAGTCTGGTTAGCGGCTTGCTAAAAACTGAGTCATATTGGGACTTGAGTAGCTCACTCATTTCCTTGCTGTCATCTGTGTAGGACCCATCTTGTTTAAGTAGGGGCCCAATACTGGACGTTGTTCTCGACTTTGATTTGGCATACTAGAAGAAATACTTTGGGTTTCTTTCGATTTCATTTATGGCTTTTAGTTCTTCCCACGATTCCTGACTCCTATAAGATTCCTTTAGCTTAAGTTCGATGCTTGCTATTTCTCTGACCATGAATTAGAAAAATGAATGAATGAAAAAAATGAATGAAAAATGAATTAGAAAAAGAATGGAGAGAGACTTGAACCGTGATCCATGCATATAGCAGGTGTAATGCTGTACCCCAGTGGAACAATGGAAATAAATCACTGATTTTTATGGGGTTATCCTAGGTAATCTACACATATGCTGCTATGTATGATAATTTATATAACTGTATTTATGTGTATCTGTACCAGAATAAACATCCATTTAATCCTGTGGGACAGTCAAAGTGTTGTGAAAATATCACAATTACTATTATTCAAACGGATTTAGCATTTTGTGTGCATATGCTACTGCTAATATCATGACTCCAAGGGTGTATATACAGTAGACCCTCGTTTAACACAGTTTGGTTTTGCACGTTTTGGATATAGCACGATTGAAAGAATTGCGGCATATTTTTGTTTAACACTTCGTAAAATTAGTTTAACATTATTGCGGGAGGGGAAAAATTTTGAGCGCCACCGGGCGGGATGGTCTGTGGGTTATATCATTGTGTCAACAGGGGAGACCTACTGCCATGCCATCCTCCGCCTCCCTCAGCCACCCACACCTCCCTCCCACACCCACCCACACCACCCTCCCACACCACCCTCCCACACCCACCCACACCACCCTCCCACACCACCCTCCCACACCCACCCTCCCACACCACCCTCCCCCACCCACCCACACCACCCCTCCCACACCCACCCACACCACCCTCCCACACCCACCCACCCTCCCAGCCTTCAGTTCGGTTCATACGATGAACTGCGTGTAAGACAACGATATTCAGGAAGCTCGATGTGTTTATTCACATACATATTTTCTTATTTTCATTGCCATGTGTTAAATCTGCCAAGCAGTCATGGCACTGACTTGACTGAATGACTTACTGACTTGACTGAATGACTTACTGACTTGACTGAATGACTTACTTGGCTCAATGACTTGACTGAATGGCTTACTGACTTGACTGAATGACTTACTGACTTGACTGACTTACTGAAAAAGAGTGTATGTGTAGCACATAGCTCATAACTTTCTGTAATGGTAGCGGTCACTTTTTTTTTTACCCCCCCCCCCCGGTCCAACCTTCAATACCTCTCTATAATATCAGATTTTTATTAATTTGGGTGTCTTTATCATGCTTCTATGTTATTTATGTTATACCTTTCTTTCAATGCACCAGCCATATCCCACTGAGGCGGGGTGGCCCAAAAGGAAAAACGAAAGTTTCGCCTTTTAAATTTAGTAATATATACAGGAGAAGGGGTTACTAGCCCCTTGCTCCCGGCATTTTTAATCACCTCTTACCGCTCTTACGACACTCATGGCTTACGGAGGAAGAATTCTATTCCACTTCCCCTTGGAGATAAGAGGAAATAAACAAGAACAAGAACTAGAAAGAAAATAGAAAACCAAGAGGGGTGTGTATATATATGCTTGTACATGTATGTGTAATGTGACCTAAGTGTAAGTAGAAGTAGTAAGACCTACCTGAAATCTTGCATGTTTAAGAGACAGAAAAAAGGACACCAGCAATCCTACCATCATGTAAAACAATTACAGGCTTTCACTTTACACTCACTTGGCAGGACGGTAGTACCTCCCTTGGCGGTTGCTGTCTACCACCCTACTACCTAGGGTTGTACCTAATATTCTGGAATAACTATGATAGGTAGATATTATTTATTGATAGTAATAGTATAATTATACAATAACAAATCTAAAAGCAGTGCTTTGAAACTGGGTCTAGACCAGCTGATGATGCCTTAACGTCAGCTGTATAATGTACTGCAGGGTAAAAGAACCCAGAGATCCATTACAGAATTTATGCACACTCCAATGCAACCATACAACCGTCGACTTCAGTACCAGAACCTCTACCATCCACTTCTGCCGACAACCAACAACCATCCACTTCTGCCGACAACCAACAACCATCTACCTCAGCCCAGTAGGGCGACACCATCCATATCCACTCTCTTCACAATCATCCACAAACACCATTGCCCTCAATTTAAGGTAAGAAATACTGTTATTTCTACTGCGTTTGTAGTCTTAAGCAGTAATATATCACGACAATGCACTACAATTACATGTTCTCTTTTATTTTGTAAGATCTGGAGGTCAAAAAAAAAAGAAAGTTGTTTGGCTTTTTGGGGGCTCCCAGGAATGTAACCTTATTTTTCACATTAATTCTTCAGTTCGTCTAACACGGTTTTGTTTAACACGGCGTTTACAGGAACGTAACTACTGTGTTGAACAACAGTTTACTGTATCTAGTAACACTTAGTGTATATATGCTGAAAGTATCTTTGGCTGGTTTTAGCGAGGTGACATGCAGTCTTAAGGACCCTTGTGAAGTCAATGTTTCCACACCACTCATGATCTCTCCTTTGCAGAATTTGGTGATGGGAGTGGCAGAAATGTTAGCAGAGACTCTCCAGGGCGGCGCCAACTACACCCAACACTCTCGATGCCCCCTACCTCGTCCAGTGGCAGCCATCATGGCCGTGCCCCGCTTACCCGCACCAACTCAGAACCTCCACCGCCACCTCCAATGCCTAGCGCTACTCCCTCTCCAAAGACCTCACCCTCTTCCTCTCATAGGATGCCTCAAGAGGTTGATAATGTCTCCCTGGCCTCCTCCAAGCCCTCCTCGCCCAGGTCCACTCATAACCCACTCGAGGAGAGGGAAGATGAAGGCCCCATTGAAGAGGGTGTAGTAAGGCCCTCTGAGTTTATCAGGAGACATTCTCAAAGAAGTGAAAATGGATCACTTAGAGGTAAGAATGTATTATTTAATTACTGACTTTCTGGGCCAAACATAAGGTTACATTAAGATCAAGTAACTGTCCTGGTGGGCCCTGCTAATGAGCAGCAATGTATACAGTGTTTGGCAGGATATGGATGTTTTGTCTTTCCCGTTTCCGCAGAAATTTTCACCATAATATATTTCTCTAGCAGTTGAGGATAGGGCACATACATCTTGTGTGTGATCACACAAGTGTATAGTATCCCGCACCTCACTCTATGTATAATATGTTTTTATTACCAGTTGCATTTTTTAAGTTTTCCTGTGTTCTTAGGAGCATGTGAGTTGCAGGTTGAACTCAGTTGAAGTTGATTTTTTTTTTTTTTTTTGCAATAAATGACCTTTACAGTATGTTCCAGTATTACAAATCTCACATTCTCATCCTTCCTTTTCCATTAATTATGTAAAATAAATTTCCTAAAGGTAATTTATTTTCATATACTGCACCTCATGTCTTTTCACACAAGAAATTTTCTTTAGGAAATTTCTTGTGTGAAAGGATATGAGGTACTTGGAGTTTACCTGGAGAGAGTTCCGGGGGTCAACCCCCCGCAGCCCGGTCTGTGACCAGGCCTCCTGGTGGATCAGAGCCTGATCAACCAGGCTGTTACTGCTGGCTACACGCAATCCAACGTACGAGCCACAGCCCGGCTGGTCAGGTACCGACTTTAGGTGCTTGTCCAGTGCCAGCTTGAAGACTGCCAGGGGTCTATTGCTAATCCCCCTTATGTATGCTGGGAGGCAGTTGAACAGTCTCGGGCCCCTGACACTTATTGTATTGTCTCTTAACGTGCTAGTGACACCCCTGCTTTTCATTGGGGGGATGTTGCATCGTCTGCCGAGTCTTTTGCTTTCGTTGTGAGTGATTTTCATGTGCAAGTTCGGTACTAGTCCCTCTAAGATTTTCCAGGTGTATATAATGATGTATCTCTCCCACCTGCGTTCCAGGGAGTACAGGTTCAGGAACTTCAAGCGCTTCCAGTAATTGAGGTGTTTTATCTCTGTTATGCATGCCGTGAAGGTTCTCTGTACATTTTCTAGGTCAGCAATTTCACCTGCCTTGAAAGGTGCTGGTAGTGTGCAGCAATATTCCAGCCTAGATAGAACAAGCGACCTGAAGAATGTCATCATGGGCTTGGCATCCCTAGTTTTGAAGGTTCTCATTATCCATCCTGTCATTTTTCTAGCAGATGCGATTGATACAATGTTATGGTCCTTGAAGGTGAGATCCTCCGACGTGATCACTCCCAGGTCTTTGACGTTGGTTTTTCGCTCTATTTTGTGGAAGGAATTTGTTTTGTACTCTGATGAAGTTTTAATTTCCTCATGTTTGCCACATCGGAGTAATTGAAATTTCTCATCGTTGAACTTCATATTGTTTTCTGCAGCCCACTGAAAGATTTGGTTGATGTCCACCTGGAGCCTTGCAGTGTCTGCAATGGAAGATACTGTCATGCAGATTCGGGTGTCATCTGCAAAGGAAGACACGGTGCTGTGGCTGACATCCTTGTCTATGTTAGATATGAGGATGAGAAACAAGATGAGAGCGAGTACTGTTCCTTGTGGAACAGAGCTTTTCACCGTAGCTGCCTCGGACTTTACTCTGTTGACTACTACTCTTTGTGTTCTGTTTGTGAGGAAATTATAGATCCATCTACCAACTTTTCCTGTTATTCCTTTAGCATGCATTTTGTGCGCTATTACACCATGGTCACACTTGTCGAAGGCTTTTGCAAAGTCTGTATATATTACATCTGCATTCTTTTTGTCTTCTAGTGCATCTAGGACCTTGTCATAGTGATCCAGTACCTGAGACAGACACAAGTGACCTGCTCTAAACCCATGTTGCCCTGGGTTGTGTAATTGATGGGTATCTAGATGGGTGGCGATCTTGCTTCTTAGGACCCTTTCAAAGATTTTTATGATTTGGGATGTTAGTGCTATCAGTCTGTAGTTCTTTGCTATTGCTTTACTGCCCCCTTTGTGAAGTGGGGCTATGTCTGTTGTTTTTAGTAACTGTGGGACGACCCCCGTGTCCATGCTCCCTCTCCATAGGATGGTAAAAGCTCGTGATAGGGGCTTCCTGCAGTTCTCGATGAACACGGAGTTCCACGAGTCTGGCCCTGGGGCAGAGTGCATGGGCATGTCAGTTATCGCCTGTTCGAAGTCATTTGGTGTCAGGATAATATCAGATAGGCTTGTGTTAACCAAATTCTGTGGCTCTCTCATAAAAAATTCATTTTGTTCTTCGACCCTCAGTCTAGTTAGCAGCTTGCTAAAAACCGAGTCATATTGGGACTCGAGTAGCTCACTCATTTCCTTGCTGTCATCTGTGTAGGACCCGTCTTGTTTAAGTAGGGGCCCAATACTGGATGTTGTACAGTATATGAAAATAAATTACAGGAATCAGTTCCTTTGAAATGCTATTCTTAGTAAATTTTTGAATAGCTGTTGACACTTGCAAACTCGGTACAAAATTCCAGGCTCTATTTTTATACATTGATTTTGAGTAATTTTCTCTTATGATTGCACATTATTTACATATTTTTTTATTGCAGGACACAAAAAGCTGGATAGGCCCACATCTCTTCCACTGGATGTTGCAGAACATTATGGCAGAATAATGACTGATGGTAAAGATAGGGATGCCGTAAGCTCAAATGAGGAGCTCAGTCAGTCTCCACAACTAGGAAAGTCACAGATGAATGGAAAATCCCTACCATTCATCCCTCCAAAGTTCCCTGTACAGCCATCAGACTCTCTCCTTATAAAACCTTCAGAATACCTACGATCTCTGGGAGGAAGTGTCAGTCGATCCCCTTCAAATGTCGATATTAAGCCTCCAAATGGATCATCTCATGTAAATGATACCACTCCACATTTTGCTGAGATTCCAGATGTTGTCAACAGTGCTGCCCAAGTTGCTGTGCCACCTGCACCACTGCCGGCAATTCCAGAAGCCACTGAAGAAGAACTAGCAAAGACCAGTGCGAATACACCTCCTCCTCCCCCGGCTCCTCCTGCACCGCCAGCATCAGCAACAAACACATTGCCAAGTCGGAATAACACCCTTACCAACGGCTCCAGCAGCAAAACAGTCTTACCCACAATCAGTGTGACAGACCTGCAGAGTGTACAACTGAGGAAGATAGAAATCAAAGTTGCAAAGCCCACTTCAGTTCCTCTTCGAATTCCCATTAGTGAGTGCTCAAGCAAAATATGTAATTGTAAATGCCCATATTAAAATACTAGAAGATTATGAAAATATAACCTTTTAATATTTCTCTGTTATAAGTCTTAAATGACTCAGTTTTTTCATATGAGTAAATAGAGGCATAGTTGACAAATAGGCAGCAGAGAGTTTGCATAAATGGGGAGAAATCAGAATGGGGGCACATCACAAGCAGTGTTCCACAGGGGTCAGTGTTGGGCCCCTTGTTGTTCACAATTTACATAAACGACATAGATGAGGGAATAAATAGCAACATAAGCAAATTTGCTGATGACACCAAAATAGGCTGTCCAATTCATTCTAATGAGGATATTAGAGCACTCCAGGATGATTTGAATAGACTTATACAATTGTCAGAGAAGTAGCAGATGCAGTTTAATATAGACAAATGCAAAGTTCTAAATGTTGGAAAGGATAGTAGCCATGCCACATATAAACTAAATAATGTAGATCTTAATATTACTGATTGCAAAAAGGATTTAGGAGTTCTGGTTAGCATTAACCTGAAACCAAGACAATAGTGCACAAGCATTTGCAATAAAGCTAACAGAATCCTTGGCTTCATATCAAGAAGCATAAATAATAGAAATCCTCAAGTTGTTCTTCAACTCGATATGCTGCACAGTTCTGGTCACCGTATTACAGAATGGATATAAATGCACTGGAAAACATACTGATGAGGATGACAAAGTTGATCCCATGTATCAGAAATCTTCCGTATGAGGATAGGCTGAGGGCCCTGAATCTGCACTCTCTAGAAAGGTGTAGAATTAGGGAGGATACGATTGAGGTGTATAAATGGAAAACAGGAATAAATAAAGGGGATGTAAATAGCGTGCTAAAAATATCTAGCCTAGACAGGACTCTCAGCAATGGTTTTAAGTTGGAAAAATTGAGATTCAGGAAGGATATAGGAAAGCACTGGTTTGGTAATAGAGTTGTGGATGAGTGGAATAAACTCCCGAGCACCATCATAGAAGCTAAGACATTGTGTAGTTTTAAAAATAGGTTAGATAAATGCATGAGTGGGTGTGGGTGGGTGTGAGTTGGACCTGACTAGCTGGTGCTACTGGGTCAGAAGCCATGCTCCTTCCTTAAGTGGGGGTGACCTGACTGGGTGGGCCATTGGTCTAAGTCCGGGGTTGACATGGACTTACCCTGCATGGGCCAGTAGGCCTGCTGCAGTGTTCCTTCTTTCTTACGTTCTTATGTTCTTTAGCACTTAGTTATGATTGAAAAAATTATGATAATAACTAGCTTCAGAGTTTGGTGACTAGCTGAATTTAAAATAGTAAATGTTATGGTAATTTGGCTACAGTCAAGGTTTTTAAATTGCATCCCTTCATTGGGAGTGTCCTGATGCTGCTGAGGGCTCTTGATCCAATGACTGGAGCTACCCTCCCCTTAGATTAAATCTGATTATCTCCTATTTTGCTGGTGCTGTGTGACTCTCAGGTTTGATACTTTCCCATGACTATTAGAATAATTATAATAATGTAAAGCATCATTTTAATGAACCCCCAGTTTAATCAATTGTGGATTTATTGGACAAAATCTGTGGCTGGAAGAATCTGGATACAACAAAGAATTGTCTATTATTGTTGTGATCCTCTGGGAAAAATTAATATTTAGATTTAAAGGACTAAATCCATTGAATCCAGAATTGTTAGTTATTGTTGCAGTTATGGAAGAAACAATCCTACCACTTGGATTTAACAGACAATCGCCTTTAAAGAATATCTCCATTAGTAATGTTAAACTGATGGTTCCCATCTAATACTAAACTGTATTTAGCCTATTTTCCAACCACACCTGAGGCTTCTTTTAGAAGCTGTATAACATGCTAAATTTATATCAGGCTTAGTATATATATTAGCCATTTTATGTTATAAAAAATATGTTCTATCCCTAACTGCAACTTAACTATCAGAACTTTGCAGCCCAGTCCCAGGACCCATTTTGTGCCTCTAATCTCTTTGACTACTGCCCACAGGACGAGCATAGTGTGCATAATAAGTAAGTTTATTGAGGCACAGGTACACATAAGTACAATTATCATGCATAGTATAAATTACCTAGGATTACCCTAAAATTCAGATAAAGTAATTAATTGTATTTTATTTTTTAAGCATCAGCCATTTCCCACTGAGGCAGGGTGACCCAAAAAGAAAGAAAAGAGCAAAAAGAAAGGAAAAAATTTCATCATCGTTTAACACTTTCACCATCATTTCACACATAATTACTGTCTTTGCTCAGATATGACAGTTTAGATGTCCCTCCAAACAGCCAGTATCCCAAACCCCTCCTTTAAAGTGCAGGCATTGTACATCCCAGCTCCAGGACTCATGTCTGGCTAACCAGTTTCCCAGAATCCCTTCACAAAATATTACCCTGCTAATGCTCGAACAGCTCGTCAGGTCCCAAAAAATATTAGTCTCCATTCACCCCTATCTAACATGCTCACACACTTGCTGGAAGTCCAAGCCCTTGCCCACAAAACCTCCTTTACTCCTCTCCAACCTTTCCTAGGACAACCCCTACCCCACCTTCCTTCCCCTACAGATTTATATGCTCTCTAAATCGTTTTACTTTGTTCCATTATTATTATTATAATCAAGGGGGAAGCGCTAAACCCGGAGGATTATACAGCGCCTGGAGGGGGATGTGGAAGGCATTCAGGCTTAATTCGGGGAACTGGAGCACAGATCTAATTCCCTAAATCAAGAGCCCCTCACCAACATCAAGGAACCTTCCTTGAGGGGTACTTTGTTCCATCCTCTCTATATGACCAATCTGTCTCAATAACCCCTCTTCAGCCCCTGACTAATACTTTTAGTTACTCCACACTAATTGTATTTATATTTTCCACACTAATTGTATTTATATTTCCACACTAATTGTATTTATATTTTGTATTTTACAGCAGCTCCTGAAGCAGCTTTCACTACTGCAAAGAATGATGTTATTGCTGAGCTAAAGATGGGAGTTGATATCCCTGGCATCAAAAAATTGAAATCAGAGCGTGCAAAGGAGGAAGAACTTCATGAAAAAATAGAGGAAAAAGAACTGAGTCGCCAATTTTCTGCTGTAAATTTTGTTGATCAAGTAAGTTGCAAGAGTATAAGTAGGATAACCTTGGTGAAGCACAATCAAAGAGTTCTCCACTTTCTTCCAACTAAATGGTCAATGACTAGGTCAAAAATACTTAATGGCTCTTTGAACTGTGTGTACACAAGGCTTTCCTGCATAATTGGTATTACCCAATTCTGTGATTGTCTTCTGGATGCCCAGCTTAAACGATGAAACATATAATAACTATGCTTTTAGAGTTCCTCTGGCCTCCCGATGAGTTAGCTCAGTTGCATTACAGATTATTGTGTTTGCTTTAAAAACTAATAATTCTCCTCTGCCTGTGAAAAAAGTGCCAGTCAAGGTTCCATGATTCCAATTAAGGACCCTTGATCCAAGGAATTGGATCTGTCCTCACTTTCCTTGGGTTGAATTTCATTGCCTCAAATTCCCCATGTGCTGTAGTGAAGCAAAAATTTATTCACTCATGACTAATGTAATTGATTTAATGTTTTGCCAAATCATATGTAAAAAAATATATATAAAACAAACAAGGATGAGTCAATATTAGTGCTCGTTTTATCACATAAAATCTATCTTAAAAGTATTTATGTAGCTGATATCTCCCATAATAACAGTTTGTCTAGAAAATAACTATTTTTGCCATGATTTGGATACCTTGCAGTTTCATGGAAACGTTTAAGATGCTGAGTTCTGCTGAGTAACTAAACTCACTGTTGACGTAGTTTAGGATGTGACAGAAAGGCAATACAAAGCTTAACTTTATTTATAGACTGCTTCTTGGTCTGCACAGAGTACGGACCATGGATGTTTCTGATTTTATTTATGGAAAGAAAGACTCAAGAATGGCTTCTAACCATTTTAATAGTCATTTTAATAGTCAGTTAGAAAGTTGATGTGCAACACTGGGGGGTATCTTTATTGATAAATTAGACACGTGTGCAACTCTTGGATATCTTTATTGAGGAAACGTTTTGCCACACAGTGGCTTCATCAGTCCATACATAGGAGAAACTTGAAGAACAGGAGGAGAATGAGGTAATCAGTCCATCAACCTTGAGTCGATGTGTTCAGTCCATCAAGATTGATGGACTCAACACAAAAATTCAATGTATGTCAAAGGCCCTAAAATCTGGAACACCCTACCTGAGAACTCTAGAACTGCAGACACATTCATCACCTTCAAAACTACCATTAGAAAACATCTTATCTCCCTGATACACCCTATCAACTAACTACACGAATACCACCTGGTGGTTCACACTTACACTCACTCACCCATTTGACCATAAACAGAAATATTAATCTCAATCTTAAAATAATGAATCCTATGATACTCCAATACTGAAACTATGTACTGTACCAAAACAAAAGCATTCACATTGCTAAACTCACAAACTAGTATTTAGTCACTTAGCCATAATACCAACTTACCTCATAATTTGTAATATTTTAAAATAAAGAATTAAACTAAGTCTGCCCGAAATGCCTAGCCATGCTAGGCGTTCTAGTGGTACACTCTGTAATCATTATTTAACTACATGTAAACCACACAACAACCAAATTCTGTAAATTCAACATTGTAATCTTTATAGAGAATAAACTTTGAATTCATCTACAAACGGTATCTTTATTACCAGAGTTTTTGCTTGCACCATAGGCTTCTTCAGTTAAATAAAGGTGTATATAACATTGGAGACAGTAGAAGTAGTTTTGAGGTGAGCAGTCCCTCAGGCTTAGTAGTTAGCAGTCATTCACTCAGGCTTGGGGAGCTGACCTACCAAACCTGGAAGACTTACTACCTCCTACCATGCCTGCAAGACTGACCACTTCCTACCAAGGCTGAAGGACTGATTACCTCAAAACTGCTTGTTCTGCTATCTCCATTGTTATACTCATCTGTATTTGACTGATGAAGCCTGTTACACAAGTAGAACATTTCAGCCATAAAGATACCTGAATGTTGTATGCGTGTCTTACTCATTAAGTTGTCAGTATTTTATACCATCAATAATATGCTATAGTACAATATGGGAGGGCCCTGCTTATACAGTACATTAGGTTCCAGACTACTGCTGTAAAGTGAAATATAGCCTCTTCCCATTTTCAAATGCATATAAAAGCCTGATAACATGTTTATGTTATCATATATTAAGTGAGCAATAGAGGTAGGCCTAAGAAATACTTATACTACACTACACACATTGCTTACCTTAAAATATTTTTGTCCTTAGCTTATAGTGAGTGGTCACTATATTGTAGGAATTCTCAATAAATGAAGAATGTGTATAATTGAAAACCATTGTATTAGTGAAGCACTGTAAAGTGGGGGCCCTCTTGTACTTAGAGGCTTAAAGAAACAGTATAACAAAATCTAATGAACTACTTTCACAATTTAGGTGCCTGAAGTTGACAATGCGGGAAATAGAATACCAGAATGGAAACGCCAGATGCTAGCACGGAAAGCTGCCGAGAAAGCTAAAAAAGAAGCTGAAGAATCACGGTTACAGGAAGCTGAAGAGAGGCGTATGCAAGCTATTCCACCATGGAAGAGACAACTCATGACGAAGAAGGATGATGGAACAATGCGGTGAGAATGAAGAACAGTTCAAATTCAGTACTGTCCTCTAGGCTAAGACATAGAATTAGTGTGAAGAACTGCCAGCACAGAACTTAGAGTATTCTGTAAAATACTTGTAAATTCTTGGAGAGTACTCACATAACACTTGTGCCCTCTAGGTTTCTAATAATGATAATGGCATAATGTGTGGGTTATGGTATTCTGACTGATGTTCCATCCCCAGGAACTTTATCAATTCATACAGAGACAAAGTAAAACATGAGGTTATACTGTATAGTGGCTGAGAATTCCATGGGGTCTAGTTACCATGGTTTGTGGTCGAGGGGAGGCCACTGATTTAGGTAACATATTCCATTTAGTTTAACCCTTTGACTGTCACAAGCTCCTTTCTGAAACTGTCATTCTGTCACAAAATTTTTGGAAAAAAAAAATTCATTTTTTCTTTTGAAATGATAGAGTATCTTTTCCTGATGGTAATGACACCAAAAGTACGAAATTTGGTCGAAAACTCAAGGAATTATGCTCCCGCGAAGTTAGCGGTCTCGGCGACATATGTGGATTGGTGATTTCACCGAATTTGAGCCCTGTTTTTGGCCAATTCCATTGTTCCAGTTGACCAAACTCATAGCTATTCCTTTAGAACTGATTTTTTTCTATCAATTGAGTACAAGGAATCCCCCATTTACCGATTTGAACTACCCAATAAAGTGGTCAGAAATTGGCAATTTGGCCAATTTCATGCAAATTAAAAAAGATGCCAATTTCAAAATAAGGTCCAGAATAAACAATGCAGACATTCTTGGCACTAAAATAACATATCCTATGTTCATTAGTCACATCTCTAGGCCCCTTATATTACTATTGCTTTCTACTTCGATTTTTTATTCATACAAAAAATAGAAGCTTTACTGTTATGCAGACTACTGCATTATTGTAAAAATGGTATAAATAATATCAGTGCACTAGTGAAAGAATATTAGACTCCCCAGTTGACATGTATTGGAAGTGTGGTTTGATTTACTTGCTCTTGAACATTGGAAAAATCGAACATTTCCGCTACTTTGAGCTCAATTTCAAGGTTGTTTTCATCGTGAAACTAATCAAAATCATCTCTATTTCTTTTAATATGTTTTCCATTTTATCACGCGAGACCATGAAAACGAGAATACAATGATAAATACTATACGAAAATACACCTCAAATTCGGCATTTTAATCCAGAAAAACGGTCAGCATTTTTTTTTCTCATTATGCACTGTGTGCTGCAGGATTTTTTTGTGGTGCACACTGACCACACAGACCCATTCTCTCACATGTGGGCCTACCAGCTTTCTCCTGCTTGATTTGAAGCCGCTAGAATTTGTGTGTATTAATACGTCTGAAACACTGGCTCGTAAGACGTATATATACGACCAAAACAGTCAAAGGGTTAAGTCAAAAACTCTGCATACATTATTTTATAAATAACTTTATTTTGTCATGCTCTTTCCATACAGTAAGTTTCAAACGTACTGTTATTGCCATGTAACTTCACAGAACTTTCCTGTTATTGTATTGTAGTTGCTGTATTACCATTGTAGCCTCACTAACTTCTTAGTTATTATATTGTAGTTATTAACATTGTAGCCTTACCCTCCATTTATTGTATTGTGGTTACATTATTACCAGTGTAGCCTCACTAACTTAGTAGTATTGTATTGTAGCCCCATACTGTGGGGCTCCATAAATATTGTATTTTTTTGAACCCCTAAAATATTTAAATTTTTTAATTATGGTATGCATGTCCCTTCTTCCCCACTTAAATTGAACAGTTTCTTGTTCAGAACATTGCAACTACCTTTGTTACTGGTTCAGAACATGGTAACTGTCTTTGTTTCTGCAGCCAGAACTGGATATCTGTCTGTACATTTTAACCTTCAGGGTTGGGTTATTGACTATACGTTTTTTTTTTTTTTGTCTGGAGCTGGTGGATGTCTGCATGCCTCTGTGTCAGGGCTTGGTGACTACTTGACTACATGTTTTAAGGTCCAGGACCTGAATTGGTCTCTGCATGCTTCTCGGTCAGGGTCTAGTGACTTGTCAATATGTTTCAAGATGCAGGACCTTAATTGGTATATGTATGTCTCTGTGTCTTGGCCTGGTAACCTAACATCCAGTAGGCATGTGTGAGCACGTTAAATAGTGGTGAGTGGAGGCAAATTTATTTGGTACTTGACGAGCTGTTGGAGTGTGAACAAGGTAACATTTTTTGAAGGGATTCAGGGAAACTGGTTAGCTGGACTTTGAGTCCTGGAGGTGGGAAGTACAATGCCTGCACTCTGAAGGAGGGGTTTAGGATATTCACTATTTGAAGAGACATCTGAATTGTTGTATCTGTGCACCTTTGGCAAGACAGTTATAGTGTGAATGATGGTGAAAGTGTTTCTTTTTTGGGTCACTCTGCCTCATTGGAAGATGGCCAGTGTGTTGAAAGAAGAAAGATATACACACACATATGCACACATTGACAAGCTGTGAATCGACCCCTGCAGTCACTTATAGGCAAGCACACACACATACATACATAGACATACGTACACACATACCTTCATTCATTTACTTTGCTTTTTTGGCTCTCCTTACGAAATTATACTTTTCAAATTTAAGTGTATAAAGAATTTAGACTAATAAAATAGATGACACTCAGAGTTATATTATATCCAGAGAAAATAAAATTCTTAAAATATGTTTCATAAATTAATGCTGAATTGTTATAATTCATAGGTAAATAGACAGGTGGAGGGCCTGCATGTAATTTCTTACTCTCTTACCTTACTTATTATGATATTTGGAATGTGCTGTTGCTGGGGCTCCTGACATTTAGTTTCAGTGTGAAAATTTAACAAAAGTAATTAGAAAGTTATTAATATTTCTATCTTTAACTAATGACTAATGACTTGTTTACCATTTTGTCATAGTTCTGACTGCAATTATAAATTACAATAGCACTGGTTCTGCTTAGTTTTCTTGAGCCATTTATAGTAAAATTTGGGAATTTACCTTTTTAACTGTTATACTAATGTGCTCAAAGCAGCAAAATTGTTTTTTATGCTTTTTTATATAAAATCAGTAAAAAGGTAAGTTGTCAGCTATTTTTATATAGTCGTAGATTAACTTTATAGAAAATTATGTATCAATAGATATAAAGCAGACTTCATCAATAATTTTTTGTGTGTGAATAAGACACACATTGCTGGTTATGGAATTTGATTTTTGAATTGATAGTCATTGGTGGTCAAAAACGTCTTCACAATTTAATACCATAACCCACATTATATCCTAGTTACACACTTTCAGTATACTTTATCATTGAATTGCCAACAGTAATATTTGTCAGGAAATATTTGCTTATGACGGACTTTTTTCATCTGACAGCATGAAGGACGTATCGACAAACTGATGACCTGACAACAATGACTTTTTTCTTATTTTTGTGCTGCATGTTGTTTCCCATGCAGTGAATGAAATTTCTGGCCCATCTCCTTACAGCAAGTAATGGAGGGACACCATTCCATAACTTATCTGAAACACTTGTAACTCTGGTTTTTGTGACATATTTTCTCTGATTTTCTCTCAGGTTTTACGTTCTTGCATGAGTGAGTTTCAGATTTGTGCCTAGTGTGTATTTTTCTCTTCATACTGAAAGGTTTTCATAATTAGAATATGTCATAAAAAACAGCACTGTAGTTTGATGCTCTAGGGTAACTATGAAGGTTCTTTATGACTTCTAATAAAAACATGCACCGTTATTTCATTTAATTTGTTACAGTAATTAGGAATCTGATAGCTGTTTCAAAATGTGATGTACCAGTAATCGTAATTAGTCCTTCTTTGTTCTAAACTTTTGCCCAAATTTGATCCCTTATGTATTTTTGTGAATAATGTGAAGATGTTTACTTTTACCACTGTATGTCTCTCACTTACCCTGAGATGATACATATAAATCTTTACAGTAAGACAATTTCACTGACACTGTGCTGAAGCACAACAGAGATAAACACTAAAATTAAAAATTATATATAGTAAATAATCATAAATATCTGTGCATTAGAAATGAGACATACACCAGAAATATTACATTTTACTTAAAAATCAGAAAATTTTCCTTTGTGTCAGGCATCATGTCACCTCGGGGACACAATCACAAAAAGTGAACAAGTGTAAAACTCTGTTGTCATTACCTATTTGGGGGTTTTATCACATTTGCTGGACCTGTCTCAATCCCTGGAATCTCGTTGGTTATTGTTTCAGTGACCGACCACTCACAGCACGCACGCAGTCTCCGGTCCGCATCGCCCTGCACGTCAAGCACTAGATTCTAGAGTGAGTGGCGGTTGTAGTTGGGCAAATAATGCATTGCTTTTAGCAACTTGGATGCTTCAGAATTAAAATCTCTCTTTTTTTTCTCATGTTACAAAAGCTTCATATATTTACTGATTCTGCAGACTCATGATTATCCACAGCACTAAGCTTACTAATCATATATTTCTGTGCCTTCCAGATATCTGAGACAATACACCACCAGTATGTAAAGTGTATTAATAAAGTGCAAGATAAAGTATCATCGCTAGACAGTGTGGTAGATGTATTATACTTCTCATTAAAGAATCAAGGTTAAGAATTTATTTTTGCTTAAAAAAAAAAAAGGGGGTCCTGCATACCATGAACCAGTATACCAACTACAGTGCTCCTCTATTCTTACATTAACTTACAAAAAAAATTCAAGTTGCATTATTAATATTAAAGTAAAAGATATGAATGCTTAAAGCAGAATTCAGTAAACTTGTTTCATATTAGTATACATATCTTCTCATTCAGAGCAATGTGGCTTGTAAAATCTTTGCTGAAATTTTTGATGCATTCTTAAATTTTCAGTTGCCAAAAATTTATTATTGACGCCCAAAGCATTTCCTGAGAACATTCTAAAGCTGTTTCCAATTTACTTGCATTCCAGGTTAGTGAAAGAGACAGAAAGCTAGTAAGCTCATTGAGAAAATAAGAAAATTAAAACAATAATAAATGTCCTCACACCTATTGACAATTATTGTACTTAAAAACAACAACCAGCAAAAGTTGCTGTCAAGTTTAAATATATAGCAGATCCACCATTGGAAGTGTAGCATGAATACATATGGATTAAACAACTCCAAATAGCAGATGTTTTATTTTAATATTGCTAAGTTTATCAAAGTGACAAAAGGTTAAAAAAAAAAAATCAGCATTTAAATTGGGTATAAAGACTTGTAATGTCAAACATACCTGTTTTTTAGATAACTTTTTACCCAGGATTAAAGTTTCAGTTCATCAATCACAGGCAAGAAACAAAATACTGTAATACCAAGAAAGTGGCAAAAAAGTTGATTACATGAGAAAAGAGACTAGCAAGTATTTATTAATGCATATGTAATACAGCAATAAATAGTTTTATTACACATCTTGCACCCATACTGTGGGCAGCACTTATGTGATTACAGTGGTTCACAGTAGAACTGGAGGTTGGGTCTCAAAATTCTGTAGCAATGAAACTACCTACAAGACATGTTTTGTGGCTCAGTGGTAGCATCTTCGGCTTTCAACCAAGGGGCCCTGGTTCGATCCTGGGGATAATATTCATTGGAGATGTTTATTTACCACTGTTTATATGGCTGTAAATAGGTACCTGGGTATTAACACACTGTCATAGGTAACAACCTGGGGAAGTGGAAAAAAGAACCTCAATGGAAATAAGTCACACTGATTGACTGTCTGGTTACCCTGTGTTACTTATCCTCTAGGTCAGTGGTTCCCAAACTGGGGGTAAATTACCCCCTGGGGGTAATTTAACCATTTTTGGGGGGTAATGGAGGGGTGACAGAAAAAAAGTTATGAATTCTGAAAATCAAGAAAACAATGCGGTACCCGGTATGAGGATTATTGTTAACTTTGTCTTAGTATATAAAGTTGTAAAGTAAACCTATTATAAGTAAGTAATAAAGTTAAACCAAATAACAATAAACATCAAAAACTAATATACAGTATTAGAAAAGAAGAAATATATAGCTAAGTGTGTGGAAACCCAAAAGTATTTTGACAAGTATGCTTCAGGACAAAAGTCGCTTGAATGTTGCAAACGATGCCAGGCTGGCACTTTCAACCACGAAGCCAAGAATTCCTAAACTAGCTTCAAGTATGCAACTCCATCCATCCCACTGATGTTCTTGACATCTTTGGTAATAGTCATTAGAGATGCACAATGTTCAAATACAATAAATAAAAGAAAATATCTCAAGTGTTTTAATTTAGCCATATGAAAGGGGTAACATGCTTTATGTGGCATGTTAAATTGGGTAACAAGCTGAAAGAGTTTGGGAGCCACTGCTCTAGGTTAATAATCCAAATCAAGTCTTCTTCATTTTCAGTCACAATATGCATGTATAGTGATGTACAGCAAGCTTGTAAGAGTTTATAGAATATTTCAGTAATGAAATATCTTTACAAGATACCACCAGTTTAAAAAAAATATACAGGGAGTTTTAGTAAGTTAGCATGGCAATATCCTATAAAGAATTGTGTGCAGCAATAATACAGTGGACCCCCGCCTTAGGATATAATTTCATTCCAGAAGTATGTTCAGGTGCCGTTACCGAACAAATTTGTTCCCATAAGGAATATTGTGAATTAGATTGGACCGTTTCAGACCCCCAAAAATACACATACAAAAGCACTTACGTAAATACACTTACATAATTGGTCGCATTGGAAGCTAATCGTAAGGCGGGGGTCCACTGTACGGTGGAACCTCAAAAATCGAACTGCTCCCAACACGACCAATTATGTAAGTGTATTTTTATAAGTGCTTTTATAAGTGTATTTTTAAGGGTCTGAAATGGACTAATCTAATTTACATTATTCCTGATGGGAATAAATTCATTCGGTAAAGGCACTCGAACAGACTTCTGGACCGAAGAAAGTTCGATATTTGAGGTTCCACTGTATTATGCTGCTGTGTATTCGAAAGTAGCCAGGGTATCAAAAGATGAACAGCATTGAATACAAGTAATTGAGATGTAAGCAGGGCACTTCATGATTTACTATAAGCAATTCAAATGCAAAATTCTGGTAATATATGATCTGACATAATTCACTGAAACCTGACAAAAGACTTCTGACAGACAGACCTTTACCTTGACATCTACTTACATTGAATACAATATTGTACCTGATTTACTGAGTATCTACCATAAATAAAAGAAAAAATATGCAGGGCAATATTAGTGCAAAATTTGTTAAGTAAAAAAATAAAAAAAGATGATAAACAAACATACTTCATATTTTAATATTTTTTTCAATTTTCAGTGGATCCTTATACATACCAAAAGTTGAGGAAGTCAAGAAAATCAAGGTTGTAAATTCTTCTCAAGATGTGAATAAGGCACCAAAGAAGGACTCTGAGAAGGAAAATGCACAACCAACAAACACTCCCAGGAATTCCTCCAACAGCACCAGCAACCCATTGAAAGGCTCTTCTGAACCAGTTAATTCATCAAATACGACAGTGAAAAAACCTGAAGACACTAGACAAGACACCAGTGAAGAGCCGCGCATGCCTTGGCGTACTAACCTACGCAAAACAAATAGCAAATTGAACTTGCTAGAGTAGCCTAGTTATACTGTATACAGTTCTAATGTTTATAAAGCCATATACTGTACTTAGTTCTTATTAAGCTTGGAATATGTAATTTTATACTGTAATTCCAGAAATGGCATTTTTATTCACATGGCACAGAATTTTACGACTTTTGTGTCATTTTTGGCTGCTGCATTTAATGTAGAAATTTACACAGCTATTCTTAAAATTAACTTCTGTGAACCACTATATTTTCTGTATTATACTTGTAAGCAATTCTAATACTTTTCCTGTTATAGAGCCATTTTTTAAGCTTAAAGATTAAGTTGTAAAGAATAGTGTATCTATGTACATAGAGAATTATATACCTGTATGTATTCCTTGTAAATACTGTGTAATGTGATTTATGATTGCAATACTGTAGCTCAATATGCATTATTGAGAGATTACTAACATTATGGCTGATTCACAGTGCCATTTATCTTGTAAATGGTCCATCAAATTAACCGAGAATTTTAAGAACTTCACGTATTTGAAACTGCCTAAAATTGTGCTTCTGACAAGGAAGTTTTTATTTAGTAGTTATTATCTAAAAATTTGACAAGAGGGTTTAGCATTGAGCAAATGAGCTGGCTTCAACATGAGTCATCATGTGCAGGGAGCTAAATGTAGTACCATGCAATGATGCATGGAGCTTCAACATGCAGTACCATGCACTGATGCATGGAGCTTCAACATGTAGTACCATACAATGATGCATGGAGCTTCAACATGTAGTACCATGCAGTGATGCATGGAGCTTCAACATGTAGTACCATGCAGTGATGCATGGAGCTTCAACATGTAGTACCATGCAATGATGCATGGAGCTTCAACATGTAGTATGTACTATGCAGTGATGCATGGAGCTTCAACATGTAGTACCATGCAATGATGCATGGAGCTTCAACATGTAGTACCATGCAATGATGCATGGAGGTTCAATAAAATACTACCACCTATACTGCTGTTTTACAGCTCATCTAAGACTGAACAGCCTTTAGTTAGGCCTTGATGGCCTTGAAAGACCCATTTTAATTTAGCAGCTTATTATGAATTAATAATAAAAATAATAATTATAGTAAAAGTGATGGATAAATAATATGAATATATATTATAATTAGTGTATGTTAAGAATATACTTTCTCAGAAAATGGTATAGTGCTGTATGACCCATGTGTGTTTATTACTCCTTTTGTGTCTATAATTTCCCTTGAGGGAGGTGCCTGGTGGCCAGTGAGAGACTTGATCCAGGGAACTGAGCTGTTCCTCTTCTTTGGGTCAAACCTAAATGACTCCCGTTTCCCAGATGCTGTATGTACCCTTCCCCCTCCTATGGGTTTAGTAATGACCCTTGATTAAAACAAAATCTATAATAATAACATTGGCAAACTTTCCATGTACCAGCACTGAATGATCCTTATGGGTTTAGTGCTTTGCATGACCGTAATAATTTTGAATCAGATCTAGAAAATAAACCTTTGCAGTCCTCATATTATTATTATAATCAAGGGGGAAACACTAAACCCATAGGATTATACAGTGCTTGGGGGAGGAATGGAAGGTATTCAGGTTTAACTCAGGGAACTGGAGCACAGATCCAGTTCCCTAGATCAAGAGCCCCTCACCAGCATCAAGGAACCTTCCTTGAGGGGTGCAGTTCTCATAATCTTCACTTACTTTTTTTTTTCAACAAACCGGCCATATCCCACTCAGGCAGGGTAACTTAAAAATAAAAATGAAAGTTTCTCTTTAAAATTAGTAATGTATACAGGAGAAGTGGTTACTAGCTCCTTGCTCCTTGCTCCTGGCATTTTAGTCACCTCTTATGAAACTCATGGCTAACTGAGGAAGGATTCTTTTCCACTTCCCCATGCATGGAGAGTTTATTTATATACAGTATCAGTATGAAACTAAGTACTGTATGCATTATTATGAAATAAATATATATTAGTATGCAATTAAATATACATTAGTATGAAATTAAATATACATTAATATGAAATTAAATATATATGTATGTAATATGAAATTAAATATACACTTGTATGAAATTAAAGCAAGGTAATCAAAAGAAAATAACCAGACGGAGATAATACACATGTACCAATCAGGACATTTGTTAACGGAAAGTTTCGCCATGAGTGGATTATGCAGAAACCACTCATGGCAAGACGTTCCTTAATAACCATCTTGACAAGTGAAAATGGGTCTTTTTAAATAGAGGTTGTCAGTAGCTACATGGATGTTGTCCCATGTGTCTCCTCCCTCATACCTCATCCACCAGAACATGCTCTCAGGATCTCGCCTGTCACACACTTGCATGACCCAAAAAATACCATATGTGCCAGAACCTTTTATTTCCCTGTGACAGAGATGCCAGGGACCTTGCCTTCTTCTACTCTACAGACACTAGCATCCTCCACACTAGACACCAGCATCCTCCACTCTACAGACACCAGCATCTTCCACACTACAGATAGAATTCTCCTCCACACTGCAGACACTAGAATCTCCTGTTATAAACAAGACATAGAATCTCCTGCCACTTGCAGAGCACTAAAAGCTCTCACATCTTAGCACCTATAATCTCCTCCACGACCAGAGGCATAAATAGGGTTGGTGTCACCCAGGGAGGAGAATCTTTGGGGGTGAATATCGGGGCAGAATCTTTGGTGTCACCCCGAAATGCAAGGGCGGGGCATGAGAGGGAGTTAACTTCCAGTTTAACATCAGTACTGCATGCCCAATGACTGTTAGTATAAGAACGTTAAATGGGCATAAACTGAAGAGGAGAATACTTTTCAACTTTTTTAATGATAAAATAAATAAATTGTAGTAATACTGAGGAAACATAAACTCAAATACCACTTTGAGTACAGGCAACAGATCCTACATTTATTCATCTTCAACAATGGCAAAAAAAAAAAAAACTTGAAAAATAAAGAAAAACATTGCAAAATCAGAGAAACATTAGTTCCAATTTGACCTTGAGTACAGGTAACATCTTAGTGAATCTGATCTTACATTTCCTTGCCTTCAGTCCTGTAAAATCATCTATCGCATCATCAAAATCAGTGATTTTCCCTATATAGGTCTATTGGTACTCTGTAATCATATAATAGGCTATATAGCAATGAAGGATTTTTCTCGTATGTTGGTACAGCACTGTTTTGGGCATTAGTGTCACCTTCAGAGGCTCTATGGTGTCACCCGGGGCATCCCACCCACCCCCTTACGACACCACTGCTCCACACCACAGACACTAGAATCTCCTCCACACTACAGACACTAGAATCTCCTCAATACCACAGACCTCAGAATTGCCCCATATCTCTCTCTCTCTCTCTCTCTCTCTCTCTGTATATATATACACACACACACACACACACACACTGTCTAGTCAGTGCGTGCGCCGGTCACGCCTTCCGCACTCCGCGAATATAAGTGTTTTCGAGGGCTACCCAAGTGATCTGAAGGGTAGCTAAGTGTGCTAGGATAGTGAACAATTCCTTGAAGGTTTTATAATCTGCCTGAGCCACATAAGTGTAGGGAGAGCCGCATTTTCATAAGTGATATAGAAAGTCAAACGTGGTGCACAGTCAGGGCTGGCAGGCTAGTGTGTGTGCTCAGGCGACGTTGTCACATGTCACCCAAGAAAGATAATAAAGTGAAACAATCGTGTGACCAGTGAGATAAATACAGTGAATAGGGTACATTATTAACGAGAAGAAATTGAGGTGGATCTACACCAGGACGTCACATCGAGCTGGACAATCTACAGGCTGCTACAGCTGCATTGCAAGTACTGTAATCACCTATTGAGTGGTTGTATGGGTGGAGTTCCAGGTTTTCCCAAATTAAAAGCCGAGCTGATTGCAAATGGTCTCTCATAGCACTATAAAGAATAGGCACTCAAGTATTCAATAAGGAATAGCAATTGGTAATCAATTGAACAAGGCGAGTAACTTACTATAAGCTAGGTGGCAGGTCAAGCATAGGCAACATTGTAAGAAGGTGCGGGCCAAGTCCCAGGAGGGTGGGGGTCAGGTCACAAGA